CCCCGCCCACCTTGGGCAGGCTAACATCCTCTCTTAGCTTCTGTTAAAAACTGCTTACTTCTGTTAAAAACTTCCCCTGCAACTGCCAAGCAAGACTCCTGGACCGAGGTCTCTGCCCTTAAAAACCCATGTTCTGGATACTTGGAGCCTTGCCTAGGACCCTGAACACTTGAGTGTGGTCTCTGCTGGCTGGAATACAAACTTCGAGTTGGCTATAAACTGTTGAGTGATAATCTCTCTTAGGCTACCCATAACAATACTTTATCAAGTGCTGCAGTTATGGTTGTAAACATTAACTTTTACTAAGCAAACTTTTACTCCATATTAATTTCCATTCGAGATGTATGTGTTTTATGATGTAAATGCAGCATTCAGAAATATGTCTTCACGTACTAAGTTTTTAATGTTACCTCTTAGGTCCTGACAAGTGCAGTATGCATGCTGTGAGAGGATATCAGTTCACACTATTTTTATAGTTAGAAAACTCACTATAAATGAAAACAAAATTAAAAGGCACAGTTTGAATAATTTTAATCACTCACCTAGATCAGAAAAAAATGTCTCCTTGACTCAAGCAAAGCACTCTGCCCATGTGCCTGTGGCCAAACTTTTTTTTTTTTTTTGAATTTCAGGGTTTGTTGACCTTCAGTGCTGTGACTGTGGACTTCTTGTAGAAGGAGTGGGAATGCCTTGACCCTGCTCACAGGGCTTTTTGCAGAGATTTCCTGTTGAAGTGTAGCAGTCTGGATTCTGAGGGTGAGAATAGTTTCCTTGCAGTCTCTTCATGGTTCCTGAAAAAACTACGCTGCATGTGTGTGAGCTGTGTGTGAATGAGTCTCACATCTCACAGAGTAAAGTGAACTCCTCAGAGAAAGACAAACATTTTATTTTCTTTCTCCTTCAGGTTTATCTATTTGGCAGGTGTTACACATCTTTCATTTTTTGTCCCATGAAAGGCTCCAGATGCTTTCTGAAGAATGTTTTTCTCCTGTGCAGGTCTCACTCTGCTCAGCCAGATCTGCTCACCTGTGGATCAGAACAAAGAGCCCTGGATGGTGAAGAGAGAGGAGGCCGTAGCAAAGGACCCAGGTGTGTTAGAGGGACTGAGGAAGCGGTAGGGAGGTGTCGGGTGTTCTATGTTGTTCAGGTCAGTGGAAGAAAGGTCACTCCAAGGTGAGTTTCAGGCCCTTTTTGATTGTTACACAAAAGTTGTTCTTTGGACAAAAACAAGTTCCTCATACCATAGCCCTGATCAAAGCTATATGTGTTCTAAAGGAAAACATCACACCTCTGTCTTATTGTTACTGTTTGCAGTGCGTAATAATAATAATTCAAGACATCCAGGTGTGCCAGGATAGTCTGTGACCACAGTCATGCAAAGGCTGTAGACCTGCTTCAGAAAAACAACTCTGTAAATCACAGAAAACAGTCACTGTTTTCCACAGTGATTTCTTCAAGGTTAAAGCACATCTAGAAAACAGCTGTTCATTCTACTGTTTTCCCTAGATACGGTGACTGCTGGGGTCTCACAACAGGGATGGGCTCCAGTGACAGTAGAAACGGAACATGAAATTTGTTTTGACACATTCTGTTTCATTAGAAATGGTTCTAGAGAATTCTCAAAATAATCTCAAGATTGTCCTATTGTAGGCATATAGAAGACTCTCTATGTAAGAATTAATACTCAGAGGCAAATACAATTTTATCTGACTTTGCATGTGAAAAATACTCTCTCTCATTCACATCACTGGTTGTGTCTTCATACCAATATCAAATGGTTTTCATTAATTTTATTATAGTGTTTTGTTAGAACAATTCTTTCAGGTTCTGTATCTTTTAAGGTTAATTTCTCCACTTCTAAAATAGTGCCAGCAGGATTTTGAAAAGATTTGGTTAATATATTTTTATTTTTTTTTATAATTCTTTTATTTAAAAAAATTCTTTCATTTTACATACTAACCTCTGTTTCAACTCTCTCCCCTTCTCCCCCTCTCCCCCACCTCTCCCTCTCCTCCTCATCCCCTCCTCATAGGGGTTAAGGCCTCCCTTGGGTAGTCAACACAGGCTGGCAAACCAAGTTAGGGCCAGACCTAGCTGCTCTCTCTTGCATTAAGGCTGAGTAAGGCATCGCACCATAGGGAATGGGCTCTAGAAAGCTAATTTGTGTACCCTGGATAAGTCCTGATCCCATTGCCAGAGGACCCACAAACACATCAAGCCATGATGGTTAATATCTCTCTTAATATCTTAATATCAGAGTAGTAAACTCTGTCTGCATTGTCTTCCCATTGATTTCCCTTGTCGTCTGTCTTCATGTCAACACTCAATGGTTTGCATTGCTACAATTTTAACGTGTTTTGAAATCACCTCTGGATTGGATCCTGTCTCATTTTTGAACTCTTTGTGGTTTCTCAAAATTTTATACATTTTAGGGAAATTTTCTCTATTTATATAAAAACAGTGCCTGTACAATCTTGGTACAAATTATGTAGAATCTTTTCAGAACACAAACATCTTTTTATATTATTTCACATGTTTGAATGATAACATGCCAGTAGTGATTCAGTGTTCAATATGTCTGAAATAACTGCTGCCCATTGAAAACAAATTTTCTTTGACCCAGGCTGAAAGCAGCACCAGGCTATGGCTTTGTAAAGGCAGTTTAAGTATTTGTACATGTGGCAAAATGTGAATACTGATTTCCCTCCTAAGGCCTATGACATTCCCCATAGTTGGCTTTCAGCCAAGTTCCTATCAATGTATTTCCTTCTGCAGAGCCGACCTCAGTTTGAACCAGAAACCTTCTCTTACCCACAAAATAGTCTTTCCACTATGACAACAATAGCCATGCCTTGCCTGGCAGATTGGGATTGTATTATACAGGATTCAAATCTGGGTATGTACATTAAGAATTATATTACTCTGCCCCCTGCCCTGGCCTGCATAGCAGTTTTTGACACTGTGAATGCTACCACTGGGAGTCCAAGATATTTTTAGATGCTGTGAGTGGTCTGCTGACTTCTCAGCAACTTATTGTTGGTATGTACAAAAACCAAGAGATGTTGTAAGTGGAGTATATAGTTTGGTAAGAGGGCTATCAGATCTGAGCTTTCTCATGAGTATTTCTCATGAGTTCTGTGTTCTCTGTAGCAGGTCCATTTCGTTTGCTTTTTGACTTTCCTATATTTTCCACTTTAAATTTTTCTTTGTCCTTCTTAAACTGTGTACCCAGTGATGCATTGTATTGAGTTAGTATGAAGGGAGGTGACACTTTGTCCTGATTACAGAGGAATGATTCCGGTTGTCCTCCTTTGGTAGTGTTAGGTTTAGGTTTGTCCCATTGTCTTTATTATGCTGAGGTATGTTCCTTCTGTTCTCACATTCCTCAGAACTCTTTTAACGAGCAAATGTGATATTTTGCCATAGGCCTTTCATGGATCTGTTTACAAGGTCATGTTTGTTCTCTTCCTGAGTCTGCATATGTGGTGTCTTACATTGCTTAGTTTGTAGATGTTGAAAGAGTAGTGTGTCCTTCACATTCAATCAGGTTTCATTCTGTTTCCATGTAATTTAGAGACAATCTCTGTGTCTGTGTCAATATTGACAACCGGTTTGTGATTTTTTTTTTTTTTTTTCATGTTTGTTTGGCCTCACCTGCTTTGGATATCAAATTAAAGCTAGCTTTGTATGATGACTTCTAGAGTTCCTTTTCTTAGTGTTTTGTGCAGTATTCTCCTTTTGGCATGAATATGAGGTTTGACTGAAGGAAAAGAGAGTTCCATGTTATAGCTGTTAAGTCCTGAGACGCTGTTAGAGGAAACTCTTCCTGCTTCAGTCTCAGCACTCAAATAATGCCTGCTCTAGTTTTAAAACAAAGTTAATTTGTTCACTTGTGTCTAGGAACTCATCCCTTTCTCCTTCAATTCTGATTTATTTGCGTATGACTTTTCACAGCACTCCATAAGGTAACACTGACGTCACTGGCATACACTACAATGTCCTCTTTACAGCTCTAGCCCTAGTACTTGAGGATTCACTCTTTTAGTTCAGATAGGGAGAAGAGTGCTTTGTCAGTGCTTTTGTCTCTTCACAGAAACAAGTCTATTCCATTGACTCTCTGCGTTGTTTTTGAGTCTCTATTTCAGTAATTTCTACACAACCTTTCTACATACTAGTTCAGATTGACTTGCTTTTATTCTTATTAGCCCTCAGCCACCTAATTATAGATAAATGTCTTTCATAACCAACCCCTCTTGCTGCCAATACTTCTGAAGTGTCTTTGTCATCCATTTCTGTGTTACTGTCTTTTATGAGGTTGTACTCACCCTGACACTGTAAGAAAGTGTCCTCAGTGCTCCATGAATTCTGTATCATTTTTCCTTAATTTTAAGTCTCCATGGTAGCTAATCAAGAGACAGTAAACAAGGGCCTAGAGAGGTGGTTCAGCACTTAAGAACATTGCTGCACTTGCACTTGATGTTTCTGGGTTCAGTTCCCTTTACCTGCATGGAGACTTAACACACTCCTGTGCCTCAGGTTCCAGAGGATCTGTTGCCCTCTTCTGACCACTGCAGGCACTGCACATACAAGGTACATAGACTTCTGGCCACTGCAGGCAAAGACACTTATACACAAAAAATTAAAATAATAAAATAAACCTTAAAACAAGGAAAAGGAACTGTAAATCATCTGGAGCTATTGCATAAGGATTCAGGATAACAGTACAAGAGATGACTTGGAGGTTATCACCGCTAGTGTGAGAGTAAGTGTGGAACCTGCATATGTGATATGGTAGCTGACACCTCATGTCAACACTGAAAAAGTTAGGATGATTCTTATGGGTGAGAAATAAAGTCGTTTGTGTTCATGGAGCCCAAAGCTGGAGTACATCCTGTGTCCACTGTAATGCGGCAACAGAAGAGTTATCAATGATGATGTAGTTAGGAACACAGCAGTTAACTTTTGAGAGGATCCTCTCTAATTGTAGAAGAATTTGTAATACAGGATAACGCTGTCACCCAGCATCTGGTCTACAGAGAAGTCTGCTACAGAAGGAAAGTGAATTGTATCAAACACCACAGTCTTCTTACTCTGTAGCGTAATGACAGGCTCCAGACCTCAAACCTTCTGCACTGATCAATCATGTATGGTGTGGAAATGATGTGTTCCCACTCTAAATAGCTCACAATTGCCAAACAGAACTTGAGATTAAGAGTTGCATGTTAATTGTGTCCTAAGTCACATATAACAAACTCTTTCATACTGCGAAATGTGCTGAAACCAAACTCATTGAGTGACATTCTCACTGCCACACTGCAGTGCTGAGGTTTGCATTTGAGCTTTTAAGGTCCTGGAGGTTGTGCATGTTGCTCTCTGAGGAGAGTTGGCTGCATGTGATGCTCTTCACTGGGGCTTTTGATCTTGCTACATTTCACATTTGTCTCTACATTGCTGTGGAATTCCATGTTGCTGATGTGACTTCCATGAACCTTCTCCTAGAACTACCTTCTGTTGAGAGAGGGCACCTCACATTTTTATTGCTGCTCATCAAGTCCTCCCTCTGTTGTTAGTTCAAAGATAATGAATTCTCCATGTGTTCCTCTGGTTTCTGCTGGGTAGGATTAGTGGACTTGTTGAGTGATGTCTTTTTCCTTCCTCAAAGATGAGGATTTCCCTCCTATTTCCTCCTATTGTAGATTTCAGAACTATAATCTGTTGTCTTTGTATTGCTTTAACTCTCCTTTTATGCTGTGAATTTCCTGATCTCATTCCCTTGTTGTTATTCTTCCTTAGCTCATTGAGTGTCTTTTAAATTCCTCAAGGAATTCAAAAATATCTCTAGTTGGTTTCTAGAGATTTATTTGTATTCTTTTATTTATTTTGATCTTTGAACACTCTCAGCTATTGTTTGCATTTGATCATTTATGAAATTGCAACATAGAATGGAAAACAGTAGAGCAGTTCCTCTGAAATCCTGGGGAAGAAACAATGCATTTGCCCCATGACTGGATATGGTCAGTTGAGAATTCAGTTAATGAAAAGTGCATTGGCTGTCCCATACTTTACCTTAAAGTTCTTCAGTAAGAAATCATGGAAATGTCCATTAATTACCAAGAAAATTATATGAGATAATATATATATATATATATATGTATATATATAGTCTATTTATATACATACATATACACCTATCCATTCATACATACATACTTATAGTGCCACTATCTATATCTATATCTATATCTATATCTATATCTATATCTATATCTATATCTATATCTATATCTATATCTATATCATCTATATATATCTATAGATAGTGGCACCGTAAATTGTATAAACTAAAAAAAACGTTACCCAGACATGCAGAATTAATTCACAAAGTAAAGCTTAAGCTTTAACATACAGGATTAACATAAGATATAACATACAGTTACATAAGCCAAGAGAATAGATACATGATTCACATTTATACTTTCTTTTCAAAGTATAAAGTTGATTTCCACAGAGAAAAAATGGTAGCAGCCAGTGACTGAAGGATCTCAAGAGTTGTCACAGTAAATAGGGATTGTTAACTTGAGTGTATTAAGAATTGCCTGAGCACCAGAGAGATGGCTGAGATGTTGTGTGTGGGAATCCCTGCACGAATCACATCTGTCAGGGAAATAAATCACAAGAGGCAAGAAGGAAAACTCAATTCAACCCAAGTTAGTTGGTGCTGGCTCAGACTTCTAGGGAGTATGACGCCACATGGTTTATTGTAAACATATTTAAATACAGTACAGTTTAGAAAAACATTTCCTGGTGTAATATATTCTGTGGTGCAGAAGGAAGCATAATTACGTCAAAACCAACTTAAGTACATGTCATAGCATAGCTAAATAGTATGTGAGGATTTAGATGAGTGTAAACAATACCCTCTTTTTATGTTGTAAATTTTTCCAGTTAAATATTTGATGTTGTCATTCCACAATAGCTTGACCCTGTGCATAGTAAGGGATTTAGTAACATGATTAATATTAAAATTCTTCAAATCACTTTTGCTAGCATAGGCAGGCTCATTACTAGTATTTAATTGTGATGAGAGTCCTAAAAAGGAAATGTATAAAAGGCTCTTTTACAAAGTCAGATTCCAGATGTGTCACAATGGTATGTTCCTGGGGTCACTAGGACCCCATCCCAGGCCTGGGGATGTGTCTGTAACTGACTAGTTACGGAGAGACATTATGCACTCTGAGCATAGATCTCTACATATATGATAGCAGAGAAGGTCCCAGACACAAACAGCTGTAGTTCCAGATGTGAAGCTGATGTCCATGCATTACTAATCTTGCGTTAGAATGCTGTGTAATTGTGTCTTTATACCATGTAAAATAATGCTGTTAATAGAGGATAGGCTCTCCTGAGCCTTCTTTACCTCCCTTGCCGGAGTCTGATCATTTATCAGACCAAGGGCATGCATGAAACTAAAAATAAACAAAACATATTACATTAATAGTGGTCATTAACTGTCTTAGTTAGGGTTTGTATTGCTGTGAAAAGACACCATGACCATGACAACTGTTATAAATGAAAACTTGTAATTGGGGTTCAGAAACTTACAGGTTCAGAGGTAAAGTCCATCATCATGGCGGAGAGTATGGCATGAGAGCATGCAGGCAGACATGGTGCTGGAAAAATAGCTGAGAGTCAGTCAGCATGATAACAGGAAGTCTACTCGTACATTGGGCGGTATCCTGAGTATAGGAAACCTCAAAGCCCACCCCCACAGAGACACACTTCCTCCAGCAAGGCTATACCCACTCCAACAAAGCCATATGTCTTAATAGTACCACTCTTTATGAAATTATGGGGGCCAGTTACATTCAGACTACCACATTAACCTGGTAACACACA